AAGAAGTGCTGCATTTTATCATTTAAACGTGACTTTTCATGAAAATTCTATAATCCAAGATTGCCGCCACCGTATGACGTCATGATATGCAAATTAGATGGGAAAATGTAATCCCTACAGAAACTTTGGATCATCCTTAATATTTCTCAAATTTACATGAAGTCTCTATCTTTTATCACTTTTAAGATATAGCCTTTTAAAATAAAGATGTCAAAATCGAATGTTTTAGGATAAAAACCTCTGGCGCCTAAAGGGTTAAAAAAGTTGAATACTGTATATACACTAAATTAGCATGTTTCAGCAATATTGACAAAAAGAGAAAACAACTCGCTGCTCATGGTTGGATAAACTATATGGCTTCTGTCAAACTCCAGCATGCAGCATCAAAAAGAGTGATTTCAAACACACTCTGAACAAACTCAGTTCTTTATCTCTGTTCTGATCTGTTTTGGCATTCAGTGTCTCCCTCATCTCAGAATGTTTAAAATATGACTGAACTTCTATGCGATGGATGGAGAGAGCGCGGACAGAAGAAGACAGCCGTTTGATGTAGATGAGAGGATGGCTGACCGGCAGACTGGAGCGCTTTCAACAGGAGTGCCGAGTTTAATGAGCCAAATCATTTCCCACAATTTGCAGACGCGTCTATGGGTTGTTTTTCAGTTATATTATGAACGTGCCTAAATTTCTCTTCAATGATCAATTAAATTAGCTACCTCTTGATGTTGATTGTTCTCCATGTTAATTCTGTTCATTCTCTTTCCGTTTTTCACAAACGCATAACTCATGTTACCTCAGGGGTTTGAGTCGCAAAACATAAAAGACCTTCTTCATAACTGTTAAATTTTGTCAAGTTATCACATTTATATCCTGTAATTTACTAATTATAATTTCAAATAATAGTAATAGAAACCATACTGATTCATACTGTAAGTTGTTTTGTTTGAATTTGAAACTGTTAAAAATGAGCCAACAGCCTAAAATAGATTCTTAAAGGAGTAGTTCACTTTATAAAAAAACTTTTGCTGATGATTTACTCACCCCCATGTCATTGAAGATGTCCATGTCTTTCTTTCTTCAGTCGAAAAGAAATTAAGGTTTTTGATGAAAACATTCCAGGATTTTCTCCATATGATGGACTTCATTGGGAACCAAACGGGACCAGACGATGAATATCGGGTCTTATCTAGGACCCTTCGAGTCATGACTCGAAAAAAGATTTGTTCATTTTGATTTTTGAGTTTGAACAGGAGATTCACAAACGCGCATCACAGAACAGAGCAAGGCGAGCATTTGAGCTTATAAAACGTAAACTTTTTTATTTATTTTTTAAATGACCGGTCATTTCGCTAGATAAGACCCTTATTCATCATTTGGTGTCCCTTTTAAATCCCTTTTCTGCACTGAAACTCTCATTTGGACCTTGAACCGTTTGGTTCCCATTGAAGTCCATTATATGGAGAAAATCCTGGAATGTTTTCATCAAAAACCTTAATTTCTTTTCGACTGAAGAAAAAAAGACGTGGACATCTTGGATGACATGGGGGTGAGTAAATTATCAGCAAAAGTTTTTTTTTTAAGTGAACTACTCCTTTAATGGCAGATTCCTATTGTGACAACTTACCACAATACCACATATAGTGTGCCAACATGCCCGGTAGCTCTGCTATTGATTCAATGTCATTGGTCCTCAAACAGGAGGTCTGGGCCCAGCACATATCAACCTCTCAAAATCCATTTGTGTCTCCTAAAAACTTCAGAAAGTTACTTCAAGAAGTAGGATATGTAAAAATAGATATATTTTTTATCTTGGGACTATCTCACAGAAACAGATTCCTTGAAAGCACTAGTGTACTAAGCCAGTGAACTTTATTCTGTGCTCTCTCTCTCAAATATGACTCAGCTGAACCTATACCACAGTAGCAATATATAACTTCTCCTGTCTGAGCAGTCTGTTATGTTGAAGTGCTCTTGAGGAAGAGACTTGAGATCTTCCCTGCTGTTCCACGTTCTGCTAAATCTGAACTTTGGAACATATTTATGTGGTTTGAGCCATGAATCCATCAGAGATCGACAGCGAGTGTTTCATATGCTGCTAGCCTTGCAAAATGCCATTTAGAGCGGATTTACTGTGTATCTAAGCTTGTGAATGTTTGAAAGATATTAAAATAAATCTTTTGTCTTTTTAACAATGTATACACTGTCACTAACTTGCTTTAATTTGTAAAAATAAAAGACTCGCACTCACTATCTTCCTCCATCTCCAAACTGTGACTTTCTTGTGACTTTGACTGCTTAAGCAAACCTTTCGAACCAGACCAGACTGGATCTTCTCTGTATTGTTGAAGAGTTTCTAGAGAATTCTCTCGGGGAAGCTAAAGGGCACATCCTAAACAGGTTCACAAACTCACCGTCGCAGTCTCCGAGATGTGAGGTGTTTCCATATTCAACGTCCTGCACGAAAGGTAATCTGCAAAACAGGAGAAAACGGATTTGAACGTAAACTGCAAATGTACAGATTAGATACATGACATTTATTCTATGCATGTAAATGGAAAGGCTTCTAGTTATGCAAACCCAATTTGATGCACCATTGCATTCAGAAATGTGTCTGAACACAATCCAAAACACATTCGACTCAGTTTTATTTTCAACAACTGTCATGGCAGACATTTTTACTGAGCAAGTTAGCTAAACTGTTATGATTGGATGGCTACCTAAGTAATAACACATCTGGTTTAGAGTCTATTTTTATATTAAAGTACTTGTTCGTACCCCAATATAACTACCAAAACATTAACACATCAGCATTGGGTATATGAGTGTTCAAGAAACCTGTGTAAAATCATTTGCGTTTGTTGACGGTTGTAGGCACAGAAATTTGAGAGTGACTCTATCGCCCCCTTGAGTTGCGGTTGAATGCATGTTAGGCATGTACAATGAGCCAGCATGCTTGCATTGCTTTTGCCAAGCGTTTATATTTGTGTAGAGGATGTTCATGGTTTCTGACCTGGTGCCTGGCCGCAGAAGTGAGCAGGTACTTCCTCTGGTCCAGCCGCAGTATGGATCTCTGGACGCAATGCAGTTTCTACACAAACACACGTCAATGTTATCATTACAGAGGACTATACCGATCTCCTCTATAATGAAATACCCGAAAACATAAATCATGATTTATAGAGATATACACTGTAAAGACTGAATGAACAGAGAGAGACAGACGACTGCATTCTCATATCTGTCTCTCCAGCTCTCCAGTTTCACTTCTCTAAACATATATTCAATTACATTGTCACTAGTATGTTCATTTCATATTTTATTCAGTTCTAGGACTTTTAGTTTGTATTTCTTCAGTTCATGCCTTCCTTTGTTTGATTTCCCGCCACTCTTTAGTTACCATGGTCACGTCATTAGTTTATTTATTCCAGCTGTGTTCTATTAAAGGAGTAGTTCACTTTAAAAATTTACTCACCATCATGTCATCCAAGATGTCCATGTATTTCTTTCTTCAGTCGAAAAGAAATTAAGGTTTTTGATGAAAACATTCCAGGATTTTTCTCCATATAATGGACTTCAATGGGAACCAAACGGGTCAAGGTCCAAATGAGAGTTTCAGTGCAGCTTCAAAGGGATTTAAACGACACCAGACGATGAATAAGGGTCTTATCTAGCGAAACGATCGGTCATTTCAAAAATAAATAAAAAAGTTTAAGTTTTATAAGCACAAATGCTCGCCTTGATCTGTTCTGTGATGAGCGTCCGTGACTCTCCTGTTCAAACTCGTTCATCAAAATGAACAAATCTTTTTTCGAGTCATGACTCAAAGGGTCGTACAGTAGATAAGACCCTTATCCGTCGTCTGGTGTCGTTTAAAGCCCTTTGAAGCTGCACTGAAACTCTCATTTGGACCTTGAACCGTTTGGTTCCCAATGAAGTCCATTGTATGGAGAAAATCCTGGAATGTTTTCATCAAAAACCTTAATTTCTTTTCGACTGAAGAAAGAAAGACATGGACAACTTGGATGACATAGGGGTGAGTAAATTATCAGCAAAAGTTTTTTTTAAAAGTGAACTACTCCTTTAATTACTTTGTTTTAGTTCACTATATAGTCTTCACTATTTGTCTGGTCACGTTCACATTTATTGATGTTTGCTAACGCCTGTCGCTGAGTATTTAGCTATTAAACGTCATTTAGTTTGATTCTAAATTCTGGTTTGTGAATATTTCATTTTGTTTTAAAGTTAAAGACTGCTGTACTTAGATCTTGTTTCATCTCTGCTAAAACCAACACTGCATATATAATGAAATATAAAAAATAAAAATTTCATAAGAATATTGAAGGAATAACTAAAGAGTTGTCAAGGGTAAAACATCCACATGCATAAAAGATTTTCTTTTCATTACAGTAATTAACTTAATTATTTTTTTTACATTTATTTATATGAATTATTACTTAATTATTTAATATAAACTACTACTTCTCCCTCATTACTCTAATGAAAAGAAAATCTCATATGTTTTACCCTTCACAGCGCTTTAGTTATTCAATATTCTTATGAAAATTTAAATTGAAATATTGAAATAAAAACTTTATGACAGAGACATATACATAATTGAAAATGTAACAAATTATAATTATCATTTCACAATTCTGATTTGATATTAAACAACACAATGCATTCTTAACGCGATGCATTTGTTTATGCGAGTCTGTGCACGGAGGGAAATGAGGTTTGTGCCACCCATGATAAAATGATGTGCTGGTGCAGGAGTCATTTAAACGAGCACATGGTGCTGCAGACGTACAAAGTGGATTGGAAAGACTTGAGTTGGTGCAGATGGTACGAGTGCGCTCGCTGTACCACGTCCCGCAAGATGAGAGAGCGTCAGCAGAATCGATCAAAGACTCTACCATTAATCACGGCTGAATTAAACCAGAGCTTTACTGCTACACAGGAAGAAACCGTTCCGATGCGGGAGACGGGCCAGGAGAACTGTGTGTGTTGTCTGAAGGAAATTGTAAAAGCTGGGTCACAGTAATTTCAAAGCCGCTGATAAAGCAGTGTGCGTTTGGGTGGCACACTTTACTTTAAGATGGAAAACGAGAGCGTGTGTGAATGTGAGTGTGTTTAATCAGTGTACAGATTGAGTGTGTGTGTGTGTGTGTTCTTACTTCATGCATCTGGAGTGCAGTTGGCAGCGTGCGACGGGCACTCTCACCACACAGGAGTGGAAGGCCAGCAGGAGTGTGTGACTGGGTTTGTCCAGGGTCAGAGAGAGAGGCTGCCGTGCCTGTACAGAGTCATCGCCGCACCTAAACACACACACACACACACACACACAAACCATCAATACAACCAATCCTGTACTTTTACAACTAAACACATCCTAGAACACGGATACACAAACTCATTAAAACCCAACATCTTCACTTCAGCGTCTCCATGAGTCACGAGGTCATTAACATATACAGTACTGTAAGACCACCCGTACTCAGCAGCTTGGTGGAGACGTTCACATGCAACGGCGAAGAAGATTTACGCCAAGTAGCGTCGCCGTCTACACAGCCAGGAAGAAATAAGTCGAGGAAGATGCGAGGCAAGATGAATGTAGAGCTGCTGTTCTCGTTGGTGTTGGAACATAAAAAACTATATGACAAACGCGACAGGGACTACAAACATCTTGATAAAAGAAAACTGACATGGAGTGGTATGCAGAGCAAATTGGCGCCATCTAATGTCAGGGAACGAATTTGCATGTTCACTCGGCTCATCGTCAGCTAAACTCGCTTGGGTGTGAACACAAAAAACGTGATGAAAAACGCTGACGAATAACGCGTGCTGATATTCGTCCCGGTGTGTACGGGCCTTTAAGTTGCGTTTGATGACTGCTTATATTCATTGACGAAAAGGTAGGCATGTGCAGAAATATTGAAAAGTAAGGATGCAATGGTAACCCTTTACAATACGGGTGCACTAATACGCATTAATTCATGGCCACTTAACTGTCACCGTCCCACAGGTGGGACGTTTGCCACTATATTTTTAAAACAATAATATCTTAGTAAATACCTTAAATAATATTGACAAACTATATATCATTTGAAAGTTTACAATCTCTAGTTTCCATATTTGGTGACTGATTTTCAAAATATATTACAGAGGAGCCATAATTTATCAATATGCAACAAGAATATTTTCATACTCATAAGGCGTGTTCAGACCTTTATTTTAAAATAGCAGTAAACATGAAAAATCATGAAAAAATGGTAGATACCTCCGTTTGTTTTCATGCCAAAAGTTCAAAAGATAGAATCCATTCAATTATTTTGGAAAGACGGTCTTAAAAGTTTTAAAAAAGAAAAAAAATAATAAATTCACCATTTGTGACGTGGCAGCTAGCTATGACTTACATGCGTGTTCTTTGTATGTGTTTCTTAGAGGTTCAATTCATTTCAAAATCTGCCAAACTTCCCATGCTACTTCTGAATAGGATCTCTACTTCAGAAATTGTATGAAAATTGTGAAAATAATGGTTCATATCACTCAAAACACGAATGGAAATGCAGACGCCCTTATATGGGCAGTAATGGAGTCTGATTGTGCCCTAGTGAAAAAGTTGGGTACTGCCCTCAAACAAAATCTTACTGAAAGCTCATTTTTTGAGATATCAACCTAAAATTTGAAACACAACTTGTTCAGATTTTTGGCTTTGATCTTTCTGCCGTTTTAGAGTAGCCCAGGTTTTGAAAATATATATTTTATGTAAAATATGAATAATTAATATTTTTACATTGTACATTTCCATAAACTCAAACTTCTATAACTTTTTTTCTGTTTCACTTTATTAATTTATTTCTTCTACAAATATCTGCCAAATGTCTTCTTTAAAACAAGACCAATCATATGTCTATATTCCAAAGCATTCTTGAATTACAACCATTTAAGTTCGAAATGTGCATTTTCATCTATGTTCAAAAAAAGGGGGGGTGACAGTTAAGAGGTTAACTAATGCACAGATAATACTGAATTAATGTGTAACTAATGATTATTTAAGCTATTCATTAATGATTACCACATTATGAACTAATTAAGAGTCTGTAGGTTTAATGTATTAGTTCATACATGAATTGTTATTGATTAAATATGTAATTGTGGATTAATTCCATAATAACTCATTTTTTTAACTAATAGTGTTAATTAATATGTTAATTGCCAGAATTAGCCAAAGCCTTGTATTTCAACATCCAGATAATATGACAGATACACTAATATGCATTAATACATGATTAATTACTTCATTGTTAGTGCACATTCATGTCCAAATTACTAAATGACTATTTAATAATGAAGTGCCCCAACAAGTAAAGTCATAACATAATGATACCTTTGCAAATCATTAGCTAATGATTAATTAAAGCAGACAACTGGAAGTTTGAAGTGCATAGCTTTGACTAATTGTGGTAATTAACACATTAATTTACACTATTAGTTAATAAAATATGTTATTAAGGAATTAATACACAATGACACATTGCATTAATAGCAATTCATGTATTACTTAATCTATTAATCATATAGACTCTTTATTAGTTGCTGATGCAGTAATCATTAATTAATGGTTTAGTTCTTCATTAGTTATCCATTAACTCAGTATTATCTGTGCATTAGTTAAGTATGAATTAATGTATATTAGTGCACCCGTATTGTAAAGTGTTAGCGATGCGACCCATCATGATATTGAATCGAATCATAATTGAATTTAATCACGAAACCAGTGATAATTCACCCCACTATAACAACATGGCGATGTAGTACGTCTGAATGTCATTCATACTGCCCATATTCATACTATATACACAACATAAATGTGGTACCTACCTAGACAGTATGCAATTTTTGATTCAAATTCTGAGTTTTGTCCAACATTCCTGATCAAAGTCTTAATCCCCCTTTCTCTTTCTCTTCAATAATCTCCTGTCCTCTTTCTACTCTCTGTAAAAAGTGGCAAACAGCCCAAAAAATACACACTAAAAGAGATTAAGTCAAAGTTGGTTTGTTTCCAACACACATTAACTGTCTGCTAATAAAGCATTAAATTACTGCAACATCTTTGATTAAATTACGACACCGACGTCTCCGAGATGCTCCTCAACTTTAGGTCCACAGATATCAGGCATGTCATCTAAACACTGATAAATAGCTTGAAGACAAATGAGACGCATTACAGGAAGTTGTGTGAGTTTTGGATGTCATCCAGAGAACACCCGAGGCAAGACAGAAGGTCAAGCAGACACAGTGATCTCTTTGTTTCAGGTGTGTGTGTGTGTGTGTTTCTCAGCGAGAGCTGGATCCTACTGAGAACCTTATCTCAACCGCCACACAACTCGCCTTCATGTCCCAGCATGCATCTCTCTGTTCTTCCTCCAGACAGATATTGCTTTTCATCTTCAAAACCCCAGCCATGTTTTCATCCATCAGAGTGCCACATGCTCACAACAGAGTCATGCACGCGCGAGCGCACACACACTCAAATAATCAGAAATCCTGTTGAATCGATTTACCTCCTTTTGCTTTTGAGGGCATTTTCAGAGGTGCTGTGTGTTTGTTTGTGGCTAAAAAGCATGGATTTATTCCTTTCATTGCATTTGATACCGAGTATCTTTTTCTCTTTGACTGTGCAAAAGTTTCTAAACGTCAACAACAGTAAACAACTGTGAGGAACTGCTTGATAAAAATGGATTTTTCTAAATAAATTCAGTCTGGAAGTAGATTAAAGGACGCTTAGGACAAAAACAACTTGATCTCCCTTCCTTACTTTTCCGTGTCCATGTCCAAATACTGAAACAAGTTTGTCTTATCAGAAAATCAGGAGATGTATAGATGCATAGTCATATTCTTCGGTGCGTTCATACCATAGACCGTAAAAAAAGATGGACGACGCCCCTTCGCTCTTTTTCATCAGAGAGAACTGAAGCCGCCAGTGTCTCGATATGACGCTGACATCTTGGAACTTGAGTCTGCGCACTTGCGCGTTTCGGGACCAGTCGTGAGCAGGAAGTAAAGCCGCGAAATCAAGGCCGCGCCCTCATTCTCGCTGAAGCACACGCCCCGCACTTTCATTAAAGGATTAGTTCACTTTTGAAAAAACTTTTGCTGATAATTTACTCACCCCCATGTCATCCAAGATGTCCATGTCTTTCTTTCCTCAGTCGAAAAGAAATTAAGGTTTTTGATGAAAACATTCCAGGATTTTTCTCCATATAATGGACTTCAATGGGAACCGGATGGTTCAAGTATCAAAAGACGGTTAATAACTGTTTCAGATGCAGCTTCAAATGTCTTTAAACGACACTAGACGATGAATAAGGGTCTTATCATGCGAAACGATCGGTTATTTCAAAAATTATTCCAAAAATGTAACTTTTCTAAGGACAAATGCTAGCCTTTCTCCATTCTGTGAGGCGCGTTTGCAACGTCACGTATTACGTAATTACGTTTAAAAGGTCACGGGCGACGTAGCCAGAAGTACAGAGTCAGAGTGTTTACAAGTTGAACGCATAGGTTGAACGTGTAAACTAACTCAAACACCGTTTACAAAAAAGGAATTAAAAGGTAAAACAACGATGTCGGACGATTTTGACTCTGTACTTCCGGCTACGTCGCCCGTGACCTTTTGAACGTAATTACGTATTACGTGACGTTACAAACGCGCCTCAGAGAATATAGCAAGGCTAGCATTTGTCCTTAGAAAAGTTACATTTTTGGAATAAGCTTTGAAATAACCGATCGTTTCGCATGAAAAGACCCTTATTCATCGTCTGATATCGTTTAAAGACATTTGAAGCTGCATCTGAAACAGTTATTAACTGTCTTTTGGACCTTGAACCGTTTCGTTCCCATTGAAGTCCATTATATGGAGAAAAATCCTGGAATGTTTTCATCAAAAACCTAAATTTCTTTTCGACTGAGGAAAGAAAGACATGGACATCTTGGATGACATGGGGGTGAGTAAATTATCAGCAAAAGTTTTTTCAAAAGTGAACTAATCCTTTAAGTGTCCTCTGTCTGCTTCGTTCTCCTCCAATGATGTCTGCTGATTGCAGAACCTCGTTAAAATAAGGTAAATACAACTACTAACTACATAATCAACATTATTAAAAAAAAGTCCGCTGGTGCTTCAGTGACTACCTCGCACAAAGAACCTGTCAATCATGATGTCAGAGCACCGTTTTTATCATCACATAACTAACTAAAAACAAACTTATTTTAAAAACGAACACTTGAAATTACATCAACGTGATAGAAACTACAGTAAATGACAGAAATAATCTTTGGAAAAAGGATATGTGAAGTGTAATTTAATTGTTTAGTTGGTCTCGCGTCCCATTGAATAACATGGGGAGGCGGGGGTTTTGATCGAGACGTTTTGGCTTCACTTTTGAGGGCTTGTGCGGCACGCTTGGTTCATACCTATAATGATAACTAGAACGATAACTATATTAACAAGCGGACGATATCGTTCTGTTATTCTAAGAGCGCGCTGCAGTTTTTTAACTGCAAATTAAATACGCAAATGAGTCAATCTCTACCCAGATAGCAAACTGACATTGAATCAACGTGGAAATATGACATCGAAACAACGTTGATCTGACATTGTTTTGCTCATCGAATTAACGTTGAACCAACGTCAGACGCGTTATTCTTTCAAAACTAACGGAAAATCAACTTGAAATCAACGCGTTGTTTCAGTGTTATGAAAGCAAACCAATTTTCGATTTTCATTTACCTTTGAAGAATGCCGCGTCTGACGTTGGTTCGACGTTAATTCGATGAGCAAAATCAACGTTGTTTCAATGTCATGAGATACGTCGTTTCCACGTTGATTCAATGTCAGTTTGCTGTCTGGGTAATTAAATATGCATACATTTCCAGAATAGAATTGTGACTTGTTGGGGTGCCCTTGAAACATTTGCGTTATGGTGTGCTACTTGTAGCTTTGTGAGTATTTTCAGCACGTGAGAATGTTTTCTTAATGTGCCTGTGTTTTATCTATTTGCATGTGTTTTCTTCAGTTGCGGCGCATTGAGTTCTCCCGGCCACCGTATACATGTGTACTTTGGATGTTTTCTTACCACAAGTCTGACAGCAGAAAAGTAATGCAGGCAAGCAATAGCAAGCAAAATAGACCAAAACTGAACAGTGCCTGAAAAAACAATAATGTTTGAAGCAAAGAAATCTCTTCACCTTTCAGGGTTGTAGCCCTCCAGCTCTTCCAGAAAGGTGTTGGTGTTGGAGTACTGGTTCTCTGGGCTGGGTGTGATTAGGAACTTGAGAACGGTTCCCCTGGTGGACCCAAGAAACACCACAGTTCGATTGCGGTGGGGGCCTGCCTCAGTGTCCACCACCATAGTGTTCAACTGGTACCTTAAAAGTGAGGAAAATAAAGCAATATGCACAGCATTATAGAAGATTATTGCTTTTATAAAACAGTTGCAACATCAGTATGATGAAAGATACATTTTCAGCCTAGAAAATAGTTCATCATCCTAACTGTAAGCTGTTTACAGTAGCCAAATAAAATAGTGCATTAAAATCAACATGAAATTGCATTTGCAACCATTGTGATATATTTCCAAGAGAATCATAATATTGAATAAGAAAAAGAATTATTTTCTGCATTATTTTCCCAACCCACATGGCCTAGTTTCCAGTCTGAGGAACAAGAGTCCTTTCAGAGGTAAAATCAAGTTATTACATTTTAATTAAAAAAGCTTGCAAAGACATTTTTGTTTTCTTTTCAATAACATTCATGAATTGTGAACATGTTTTAAGAAAGTAAATAAACCCTTATTTTGATTTTGTGTTTAACTTAGCTGATGGTCACAGATATGTTTGTCATTTATTGTACAATAGCTTCAGTTCAAACTAATCAGATTTTGGCACTTGACGCTTGACGCTATCTTTTAAACAATTCTTGGTGTATAATTCTTAATACAGCTTAAGAAATAATTAAAAAGGGATATGAGAGATTAGAGTTGTAAATACTCTCTGTTGAGACTTCAATTTGGATTAAAAAGAGCAAACAAAAAGAGTTCATGACAGCTCACACCAACTTTTGTACTTTATCTGTACTTTTACTACTTTGTTGTAAGCTTGAAAAACCTGAGCTGTCATTCAAATCTAATTTGCATAATTCCAGCCTATGGTGTTCATTGATGGCCCGCCCTCAAACACTGTAGTTGAGATGTAGCGTAGGCCTGTAAAAGTTCATTTTGTGTTGTCGACATGTCGAGAAGACACTGTTTTCTGTGCTGTAAAAGCAAATCCATGCACTTTTTTAAAGGATGAGGACTTGATATGGGAAAACCGACGCCATTGTTACAGTTTGTATCACTGTGTATCAAGTGCTGAGAATGATCTGGAGCTGAAATTCAGATTTGGTAACGAGTGCTGTACATCCGGCATGCGCTGTAACCGGTAGACTGGGCTATCTGTCCAATCAGAGCAGAGTAGACTCTAAGAAAGGAGGGATTTAGAGAGACTGATTCCTTTATCTGTTTCAGACACTGTCAGTTGACGCTGCTATATATATGTAACCCCTCCACCAGGGTCCCAATCGACCCGCTCCGAGCGGGCCGAGCGGGATATTGAGATCAGGAGAGTGAGGTTTACTTGCACAGCAACTACTAGTTGGCCTCCGTTACACTAATCCCTCTAAACCTCACTCTCATCCGGGTCACGGCACCAATAACCCATTTTCCACCGAAAAAAAGAACTGGTTCGGAACTGGTGCTGGTTCAAAGTTGGTTCGGAGTTGGTTCAAATTGTGAACCCGTTCAGAACCTGTTTGTTTTTCCACTGACGCAACCCAGGGAACGACGTCTTAGTACATTTCTTTGAGATTATCTCTAACTCGTGTACCAAGAAAACTTTAAAAACAATTGAAATATGTAAGTCTTTTAATCTTCTTGTTTGATATGTAATCTTTTCTGATAAGTTATGTACCCCTGTCTTGTGTCTTTTTTTTTCATTCCATTTATTTGTTCTATATCATGACTGTTTTCTTCTTTGCTTATGTTTCAAATAAAAAAAAATAATAATAAAAACGCTTGCGTGTTTCTACAGTTTCTCCTGGCTTTGCGATGGTCAGAAAAGATGTTTAGAACACATCTAAACCCGCCCCAGCCCCCGACGTAAACATGACGTGCTAAAAGAACGGTTCTAGTCCAGCAAAGAGTTGGTGCCGCTTTAGAACCAGTTTTCCCGGCCTGGCTGTCGAAACACAAAGAACTGGTTCGCGCGCAGGCACCGGCTCCGAACCGGCTCTCAAAATGCTTTGGTGGAAAAGGGTCTAATGTAACCCCTACACCCGGGTCCTAATCGACCTGCTCCGAGCGGGCCTCGAACCCGTGTCTCCGGCGTGAGAGCCGGGCGCTCTAACAAAGAGGCTAAAGACTGCAGCCTCTAGCATCTGTCGCTAGAGTGCCTATTGAGATCAGGGGAGTGAGGTTTACTTGCACAGCAACTACTAGCTGGCCTCCGTTACATATATTACGAAAAAATTAACGTCTTTTTGACCCTGGATGCATGTAAAACGTCAAAACAAAGATCTTCAACCTGTAAAAGACCTTCAAAACAAAATTAGGAACCTTTATAATAGCATAATACAGGTCTGTTATTGAATATCAATCAAATATCCACCTTTTTCCCCTCACCAGAGGACCACTCTCCTCCTTTGTGACAATTTACCTCTAGTTATCGTGAAATGACCCAGTGGCCATTTTTAAAACAATTTAAAAAAAAAAAAAAGATTTATTGCTTGATATTTTTCTCCTTGCAGAGAAGTTTTTCTTCGGGTACTCGCAAGTATTGAGTCTGAAGGCCTCAGGTAAATTTACTCTCTGCAAAAGCACTACTGGAGTTACATTTTAACTAATGTCCCCCCACTAACCTTGAGAGACACTGTAGCAGCGCTCTTAACAGGATTGTTCACAGAATGATGTCCTTTGAGTATCAATGCGGCTAACATTAGCCATACTACAGCAGAGCTTGGGCTTTGATTCCTGAGATTTCAGTTAAAGCAGCACAGCTTTCAGGAGGCCTTGAGAATTTCACTTCACTTTATCAAATCTCAGCAACACACTTCATATAACAAGCATCCCGGGGTTTATCGATTGTTTTTTTTTTTCTGTGTTCGCATCGTACCGAACCATGGTCTTGACTATCCAGGGTCTGTGTCCAAGCAAAGGAACTGCTTCGTCCATCAGAGGATGAGTTTTGATGAAGTTCAGCACTTCGTCCGGAAGGGCGTTAGAGGAGCTGAATCTCGAACCCTGGACAGCACATCCCCCAGGCCTAGAAAAGTAAAACAACCACACATTCACGTTTCAAATGTCCAAACCAAACATTCACTAGACAGAGAGACAGAACAAGATAGACAGACAGATTAACAGATCATGACTAGAACATGACAGAAAGATAGATACCTGGGTTTCGGCACCAGTTCATCAGGTACTGGTGTCCATATGGATTCTGGAGATTTCTGCTCTTTGAATCTGCCCTCAAACACACGTGCCAGCTGCTGCATGTCAAACGCACACACCGCCGAGCCGGGGATGCTGGGTAGACACAGAGTTCCAAGAGGGTCAAGACACATCACTGAGCCAAACCACACTTCAAACACACGCACACACACACACACACACGCTGTTACCCAAAGCCAAAGTGACATGTCACAACAGGACTATTCGATTTACTGCAGCTGACAGACTAATCGACCAATCTGCCTCTACAACATCTCATTATAGTGTCTCGACAGCCACTCACATCAGATTAATAAAAGCTCAAGTGCAAATTCAAGCTATTTTAGAGCACACAGGCTATACTGTAGTATAAATATAACAATACACACATGGACTGCTTTATGGCACTTTCATGGTGCTTTGTAGTCTACTGGAGCTTGATTCTTCAAAATAGTTTCTCATGAAAGAAAAAATACCCGTCTTGGGAAAGACATGAGGGGGAATATATGATGACAGTTGTAGTTTTTTTGAGGTGAATTCTTCCTGAAAACATATATCAGCTAAATATTATAGCTTGATACGCTTTAAAATACAAAGGAAATCGTAGATCAGTCAAACCTGCCAAGATGGGCAAGTGTTCTCACTGGCTGACCAGCCCAATGGTGTGTGTGTGTGTGTGTGTGTGTTCTGGTCTGCAGGTGTTCACCATGTGTTCCAGGGCAGCTTGTCTCTCTCTCCTCACAGTGGGAGTTCAGATGGACTGTTGAGGAAACTTGGATCCTCTTTTCTGTCCAGATTTCAGCTTTCAGGCAAAACAACAAATCTTAAAAAAAAGGCTAGTAGTGAATTGAATGGCATTCAACTTAATAATAATCAATTCTAGTAAAATTGATACTTATCACTATGCCATTCAAAAGTTTGGGATCAGTCTTTTGAAAGAAATTCATCTTTGCATCACAGGAATAAATTACATTTTAAAATAATATTTTCACAATATTACGGTATTGACAGATTTTTTTAAAATCAAATAAATTCAGCTTAAAAAAAATATTAAAAAAAAAAACGTACAGAACTTTTGAATAGTAATGTAAAACAATTTTCAATTGTATTTTATACAGGTACAATTATCTAAACAAATATATTATTATTATTTTAAGTTAAATTATTTAATTTTTTTAATGTATTAGATTTATATATTTTAAAAGATGGATATATATATATATATATATATTTGTTTAAAGCAGATGCTATTATTTTAACAATGTCCTTTACCTTCTAAAAGGCAATAATTAGATACTAATGTGTGAGTATTGTTTTAAATATATATATATTATACAACATTTTTAACTATTAGTCTAAATTGGGCCAGGCCTTCAGACTGTTCTGACTCGTTCATAATAAATGGGTGGTTTGTACTTGTCCTCAATATCACTTTTATTTAGCAAAAAAAAAAAAAAAAAACCTTAAGAAAAATATCTATAATGTTTTTTTGGAGGGGGAATAACAGCCCCAAACATTTGCAAATCAACAAGGGATTAATTACAGAAATCAGTGTGATAATAACAACACGTTAAAAGCAACAGAATGAGACTGTAAATCACAGTAGCAGGATGTTGGGCTGGGTTTGAGGTCACACATGGTCCCGTCAGCTGCTCTGAGAACGTGTGTGTTTGGACCGCGGTGACAGATTTGGCGAGTTCTGTCTGGTGTCCCGCTGGAACTGGAGGGAGAGGGCTTGTCTGCACCCTTCACCTGACACCAGACCTGCTGAGCCAACGCTGGACAGCATTTGGCCAATACTAGGTCAATGCTGGACTGAAAATGATCTAAACCTCAATGTCCTTTATCTTAAATGACAGTGTTGTGACAAATCCAATTCCCTGCACCAACAAAACTCTAAGTGCCTCAAACAAAGCAAACTGTCTTACATAGACTTGACAATACAAACCCTGAAAACTTTGCTAAATCAATGAAATAATTCATCCTCAAATGACCCATGACTTGTGGAAGTTAGGATAGATATTTAATAGAACAATGGATGGATGGATGGATGGATGGATAGCACTGTACACAGAAGGAAGTCAACCTTTTGGTTACCAACATTTAAAAAAAATACATTATTTTGTGTTTCACATAAAAAGAAAGTCTTTCAGATTTGGAATTTTAATAGTTTGGTTGGACAATGGCAGCTTATTAGGTTTAGAGTTAATGATTACATTGATTAACAGAAAAGAAAACCAATACAATCATTTAGGGAATATCATTTTGATACAAGCTTGAGTTTAACACAATAGCTACATTATCCTGATCACAATGAGAACGCAAATGAAATGAAAGACCAGAGTCCTTCCACCTTCCCCATAGTGACTAAATAAAAATGAAGTAGATAAGACAGTTGGCGAGCAATCATCGCATTCGGATATGATGAGGTCTGCTCGTTCAATTCTAATCATTCCATTTCTGCTCAATTCCACTCTAATATTCCCAACTAATAGATACAAGGAAAATATGGAGTCTGATCTGCTAAATTAGGGCTACTGGTAATTGAAGGGCTTTGGGAATGAAGGGTCTCATTTGGAAAATTTGGAAAACGCACGCAGATTGATGGACAGAAACGGCACAGTGGGCATGGTGTTAATGGACTGATTTGGAGATCGGCCTGAGCCCGCCGCCTGCCACCCTTATGGAGGACATCTGTGCCAAAGATTACACCAAATTAACATAGATGTCAATGAATGTCATTTTCCTCTCCGTCTTTTTTTTTTACCACATCTCCTGTACTTCCCTGAGTAGCACAACCTTATACCTCAACTATTTAAAAGAATAAAGGGGCAAACAGTGCTGTTCTGTAAGAGCCATTAGTGCTCTTGAATGCTCACACATTTTATCTCAGAAGGTGACTGTCAAAATTAAAGTGATTTAAAGAATAAGACAATGATGGCACACTGTGACCTTTTTAGTAGTGCTCGTTGAGACAAACATCACTATTACTGTAATATTTCTCATAAATAAAAGTATAGTTCACCCTCATGTTGTTCCCAACCTGTATGACTTCCTTTCACAAAATTATTAAGATATTTTGAATACAAAAAGTTTATTGAGCAGCAAATCAACATATCAGAATGTTTTCTGAAGTAACATGTGATGATGCTGAAAATTCAGCTTTGCATCACAGGAATAAATCACATTTGAAAATATATTCAAATTAAAAAGTTACACTTTTTTACTGTATTTTTCAGCAAATAAATATAGCCGTGGTGAATACAAAGACTTTGTTTTAAAAACATTTTAGAAAAATGTGTGGTCAGCTATTGCCTGACACAGGCAGACTGGTCCCGGATGGAAGCCATTTTGAGAACACCACTTAAGCCAATAAGCTGTTAGAAGTTTGTGGCCTCCAACTCTAATCCAGCCAATGAGCTGTCAGACGTAGTGATCTACAGCCTTGTAAACCTCAAGCTAGACAAACGAGCTCTACTTTCACCCTGTTCTCTCTGGCATGCGGCCCTGGTCACCTATCGTCCACTACTTTAAAGGCTTTCTGGCGCTGTGCCTGTGTAACTGACCAGCCCAGTGGGTTTGAGGTGAACGGGCCAAGATCACCTCATCACACAAAGCTCTGCAGCAAAGCCTTTCGCATCCATTCGAGAAAGGACACAACGGGGGTCTGAGAAATGAGGACTAAATGAGAAAAATGGACACGGCAGAAAGCAGGAGGGAGTTCATGCTGTTAGTACTTTGGCATAGCCATAGCTCAGCCAGAACTCTAGAGTGAGTGCATAATAGCTCTCCTTTCAGATGAAAATGAAATGAAAATTTGATTTGAGGTAGTAAAAAATACAGTTAGAATTGTGCCATTTTATTAACACATTTTATTTATTTCGTACAATGGCATTTATGTATTGTGATTATTATTACGTGTATTATAATAATAATAAATATAGCCGCAAGCAGCAATGATGGGCCAAGCACCGACAGGCACCCAAAGCAGAGCAAGAATTGTAAGCACAAATCTCAGCAAGCACATCAACGCTCATCACACAGAACAGTCAAATGCTCTACAATGTGAATCACAAAAGGACAAAATACTATTCAGATTTTTGTATATAATTGCACTGGATGTTTATGTTTAGATCATTCTCAGAAAGAAGCAATTTCTGGAACAGATGCAACTTCTTGCAACATTTCTGACCACAGTACCTCTTGCATTCAAACCTCGACCTGAAAAGTTCAGGGGCTTGTAGCTTAGCAAGTTGCGCCACTCAGTTACATGTAACGCAGATGCACAAGAGTTTTCAAGTTTTCTTGCCAAAGCATTAGTTAGCATATCAACCAATTAGCAAGCTAAGATAACTTGGCCACTAACGTAAATTATGTTTAACCTGGTTGAGTCAAAATCAACATTAGAAGGAATGGCCTCTGATTGGCATGCTAAGCTAGCTTAACGGAGGACAACAGATGCAGTGCAGTGAAAGTCGACTTCAGAAAGTTATTTCTCGGGAACGGTAGCAAATATCAAAAATCTGTTCAGTCATTTCTGTGCGGCTCGGTCCAATGATCATATGAGCTGATTTTGGACAAAATTTGTACGTTTTTTCCTTTAGTTCAATATGGCGGGCAAACAAAATGACAAATGAGATATCGTCAAAACAATTTTGAACAATGTTTTCAAAAGTTATATACGTTTTGCCAACAAAAAAAATGTATATCTCTGGAAAACTAGGTGGCACTGTGTTCAAACTTCTCAGGTACCTTCAGGACATGCTTTCAATGAACCGTACCAAATTTAGTGCCAATATGTCCGATCGTTTAAATCATATTGCAATTTATAACAAATTTCAAAATGGCGGACCATGATTTTCTGACAAACTGTTCAATAGTTTTTAAGCAAAAATAGCAAATTTTCGTAAGAATTGGGCAAAATTTGAAGGAGAAGTAGGAAAAATATGAAATACTGTACTTTTCAAAATGGCCACTACTGTAAGAGGCGGAGTTTAAGTTCGCAAGGCTGTGCGTTTCAGTAATTTGTACCAAAGGTAAAAACACTGTAATGGGCAGCCTCTCGTGGCTTATTGTGTTATTATTTATTCTCATGGAGACAAAAAAACAATAGCAGCCACAATACACAAACAAATATTTGTATATTTCAGAAAATGTTGGCATAAGCATATGAAAAACTTTCCATTTCAAGACATTTCCTCCTCAAACATCCAACTTCTCATTAATCTTGACCACTTTCCTTTCTCAACGGCTGTCCTGGAATTTGCTCTTTCCTATTGTGAAGCAGAGCAGATATAACACTAAAAACATTCCACTGGAAGCTGATGACGAAGCTCATTTTTATTCTAATCATATGAACACAATGAGAGGTAATCTACTGAAAAAGGCCCTCATCATCTGCCTGATGGACTACAGTATATCATACTGAACGCACGCTTACCCGTAGAGCCTGGAAGACCAGTGAGAGCTCTTACAGTGTGTTACGAGCTCTCGGGACCGACACAAAGAGCTGATAGAACAACATTTGGGCTGGTTTTATGATGTACTTGACTGTTTATCCATTTAGCTCAGAACAGACCAATTCATTCCCTTTCATAAACCCACGAGCTCAGATTATCGGCTGGTTGTTGTACAGAATCTTCTGCCATATCTCTCCGTCTCTTTGTCTCTCTCTATCCCTTTATTTTGGGTCTACAGTATGCAAATATCTATTCTCTATTGGGAGTTATTTTAAGCGGCATGCCGTACCAAAGCAGCGGGTTCAAGTCAATGTGGAATTCAATGTCAAATCTTTAGTTTTTTGCTTGGTATGCTGTGGAATTGCTCTGTGATACCACAAGGATACATTTGACATCTACTGTATGTTTCAATCACACGAGGAGTTCTTAAAGTATTAGATAGGCAACTCATTTGGGATTTTTGAATTGATATGCCACCATTTGCTCAGAGGGCTTTCAGTTTCCACAGAGATATAAAATGTCATTGTACACACCTCTATGTGAGAGCGTTTCATCTCTCACCTCTCGTACAAATTAGCCTGCGGTCGTAGTTATGGCAAATGATGGTAATACCATGCTACTTTGTGATATAATTATCATAAACAAATTCTGGTGGTCATTGACCTGCCTTTCAGCAAATGAGAGTTAGAACAAAGACTTTGGTTGCTCTTTATATTACAGTATGCGCACTTATGTGTCCTTCGTACTTACCTGTACTGGGTAATATAAGCTAACTACATGGGTTAAGGTTAGGTTTAGAGGGTTAGTACCTAGTCATTGTAATTAGTATAATATGCACACAAGGAACAGGGATGTAAAATAAAGTGCTACCAAGACTCATTTTACTTATGAATGGGAGAAAGTCCACATTTCTCTAGATGTATACAGACACACACAAAGATTGTTTCTAGCACTTCGCTTTCTCTGACTCTCACTCTCTTTGCATATTTTGACAGACGTCACAACTGCTACTGTATTCTACAGCACAATGTGAGCTGGCCATTTCCAACCCTCTGGATCAGTGTTTTGCCCATTGTTAAAATGTGTTTATGGTGATTATTAACATTCCTGCTAACTGAATTTTAGACTGTCTTTTTCCTGAGACAACCAAACTCTTCGCTTTGTCTTTCTTCTGGAGAAAAAAAAAAAAAGCCCTTTTAGGCAGACAATCAAAAGACCAAAATCCAAATTGCCTTGAAATTGGATTCATTCGTGCTGCTCGGGTTCAAAACAGACTAATAAGAAGCTAAATCACAGAGGAACGAGCGTACGTGCGTGTGTAGAACCGTTTTCCATTTCCCTTCAATTTAGTTATGTTTCCTAATCTTTGCGCATTTACGGTGCGAATGTCACAAAAACATGTCCAGATCATATTTCACCACCACCACCAAAAGAAATCAAATGTAGCTTAAAGGAAAACAAGCCTATTTTAGGACATTCTTTTAATTACAGTTAAGAGCTTTCACCCTTGTTTCCATAATGAACAAATCTCATTCTCATAACCGTATAATTACTGAGAACTTTGGTGGAATTTTTGTGTGCTTAAATGTCATGTCAAACAAAATAATAAAATAAAGTTGCAAAATGCAAATTAATAAATAAATAAAAAACAAAATAAAAATAATTAGGGCTGTCAAACGATTAATCGCGATTAATCGCATCCAAAATAAAAGTTTGTGTTTACATAATATATGTGGGTGCACTGTGTATAATTATTTTGTATATATATAAATACACACACATGCATGCATATTTAAGAAAAAAAATATTTATATATTTATTTTTTATTTATTTTTTATTTAAAATATATGTATATATATATATATATATATACAGTGCACCCACATATATTATGTAAACACAAACTTTTATTTTGGATGTGATTAATCGCGATTAATCGTTTACAGCCCTAATAATGATTAAGAAATATAAGAAAAAAAAATAAAAAATTCATGCATACATTTCACAAGATTTTAGTGTGAAATATAGCCCAGACATGTTCTTGAAAAATTCACCTTTCAGTGCTTTACAAAACAATAACCGGAAACATCTCAAAGGATACTGATAAGACAATAAATGGTGCCAATATGATTTGAGGAAATAACCTTCTCAAAGGCTTTTGTCCTTATTTGCATCAGGGCTGTTGAATCACATTACTGTCTCATCTGCATTCATCATTCACACACACAGATCACTCCACTATACTGCAAATGATCCCACCATACCGTTTAATATTCATCCAGTATGATGAGTGTGTGTACCTGTTTGAGGGTGTTGAAAAGACCCCCAGTATGACGTCTCTGCCCTGCATGCGTATGATGGGGCTGGTGGACTGCAGCAGGTTGAAGTAGAAGTGCGAGTCTCCAGGGATTGAGCAGTTCAGACGAGCTTTTAGAAACGACGTCCACTGGCGCTCTAACACACGCTGAGAGCCGCCCAAATCACCTTTACACACGCGTGCCACGCGAGACACCATCACCTAGCGCATACACAAACACATTCAAAAATAAAACAGATCAGTTTTGACTCATTCAGTGCCAGAATCACTGGAGAACTGCTTTTCAACCTAACACTTCAATCTTGAGAATTTAGTCTTTTGGCAATAGTGTAAAAACTTAAAGGGGACATATTCTGGACTACTGTAGCATTTGTTTTCTCCCCAAGAATTACACTCATAATGTCAGTAAAGGCGTCTTGTCCCAAAAGTAGTCATCTCTGTCTCTGACACTTTGCAACTGGAGCTTTACTACACTGTACCTTTAATATGTAAATGACCTAGGTTATGATTGGCTGAGCTCTATCCATAGACATATACACTAGACCTCACCTGGGGGTTCTACGCATGCGTCAAAACCGCCGCCATCTTGGAACAGGGGTCTTGTCATAGGAAGTAGCTAGGTAACGCTGCTATCTCTGCCTTTACTTCGAATTCATTGATGGTGGCGGACTTTTGTGCAGCGTATGAAGTTCACGGATGAAATCTGAACTAGGAAGAATGTTTTTAAAAAAAAATAAAAAAATAAAAAAATAAAAAATTTTCTTTCTGGAATCAATGATAAATACATGTCTGACCGTTGGAACAAACCAAAAAAAAACAAGAAAAATCGCATTCATGATGATTTATGGTGATTTTATTTGCCTTAGACCTGTGTCTACTACATTGACGCTGATGCATTAAAGTGGAGGGGCTCCCCTGTTTCAAGATGGCGGCTCTATTGACGCATTCGTTCTAATGAACTGCCGTATCCAAGGTGAGGTCTAGTGTATATGTCTATGAGCTCTATCAAGTTCCTGACACAAGTTATCTGTTGCCGTGTCAACTGGGAGAAACAAACCCTCATTCTGAGGATTCTGATTGGCTTGCATGGGTTTATCTTTCTCTCTACACTGCCGCCCATAGGTTTGGCATATGATGGCGCTCGACGGCGTATTAATGCCGGTTGATGTAAATGACAACTTTTTTGAAAACGATGTTGTGTACATGATGTTATTATTGAAAACAAAGGGGGGGGGTATTCGTTTCTCTAAATACCCGACTGTATGTAAATGTGGCCTTAAAGGAGTAGTTCACTTTCAAAAAAAACTTTTGCTGATAATTTACTCACCCCCATGTCATCCAAGATATCCAAGTCATTCTTTCTTCAGTCGAAAAGAAATTAAGGTTTTTGATGAAAACGTTCCTGGATTTTTCTCCATATAATGGACTTCATTGGGAACCAAACGGTTCAAGCCATGCGCGTTTGTGACTCTCCTGTTTGAACTCGTTTATCAAAATGAACAAATCTTTTTTCGTGTCATTTGGTTCATTCAACGAACGAAATGAACGAATTGACTCGGGAAAAGATTTGTTCATTTTGATAAACGAGTTCGAACAGGAGAGTCACAAACGCGCATCACAGAACAGATCAAGGTGAGCATTTGTGCTTATAAAACTTAAACTTTGTTATTTTTTTTTAAATGAGCGATCGGTTCGCTTGATAAGACCCTTATTCATCGTCTGGAATCGTTTAAAGCCCTTTGAACAGTTTGGTTACCAGTAGAGTGTATTATATGGAGAAAAATCCTGGAATGTTTTCATCAAAAACCTTAATTTCTTTTCGACTGAAGAAAGAATGACGTGGACATCTTGGATGACATGGGGGTGAGTAAATTATCAGCAAAAGTGTTTTTTTTTAAAGTGAACTACTCCTTTAATATGCCCAATACTCTGTACTACCGGTACGGTACACACATATTACCGTTTTAGTGCCGACTGCCACCGGTAGTACCAGGACATTTGACAACCCAATTTACATTGTTACTAAAGATTTCTATTTCAAATAAATGCTGTTCTTTTGAACATTCTATTAATCAAAGAATCCTGAAAAAATCATGGTTTAAAAATCAGGCAGCACAACAGCTTTCAACATTGATAATAAGAAGACATTTTTCTAGAGCAGCAAATCAGCATATTATAATGATTTCTGAAGGATCATGGGACACTGAAGACTGGAGTAATGATGCTGAAAGGCATAAAATACAATTTAATATAAATTTAAACAGAAAACAGTTATTAGAAATTGTAATAATATTTCACAATATTACAGCTTTTTTACTGTATTTTTTGATTAAAGTAAACTAACTTAATTCAAAATCATTAAAAAAAAAATCTAACGGTCCTAAACTTTTGAACGACGTGTGTAAATGTCCAGCTGTATATTTCTTTCTCACCTTCTCCAGGTAGTTGAACTCCATGGCCATCTCCCTGAAGAAGAAGTAGATATGAGGTCCCCATTCCACGGCACTCACAAAATAAGGCTCTGCAAGACACGCACACAAACGCAGGCTTTCATTTAACAGTCTGAGGGTGTCCTATGGAGAAATTGAAGCTCAAATAAGTAAACACTCATCCGTCATTCTAAAAACATTTAATCTGAACAAACAACATATGCACAGTCCCAAAGGGAGGCAGGGAGAGAAAGAGATATACAGCGAGAGAACGGCACAAACACAAGTGAATGAGGCAGAGATAGTCCTCATAAAACATGCATGTCCTCTTAAATAAAGCAAAGAGAGTGAAGAGAGGACATTCAGAGGTCTTGGCCTCTCCTCTCTCTCTCTCCTTGAGCAGAATGCGTTTATAAAGCAAGCGCAGGTCTTCATGGCTCAAAAACGGGATGTCGATCTCATTCCCTGAATGATTCTTTCATAGATATATTCATCTCATAGCTTTCCAGCATTCAAAGTTCAAACAGAGCGCTCTAAATTATACACACATCCACCTATTCTCGACTGAACGAGGCTCCAAAAGCACAGTTCAGTTTCCTGCGTGGTTACAAGGTCTCGCATATTTGTGAAAAACAAGTCAGGTAAAAACTCAAAAACTCAAAAAATTCCCTTTCGGTTTTGTTAGCACTCTCGGTGTGTCTGGTGTGAAATCGCACTCAAAATTCAGTGCTGTGAACTGCTTCCAGAAACTATTTTAAAACCCACAAAACAAAACCCCACTTCAAACCGACAGGTGGATTGCAGAGCGACAAAGCAGCAATCCTTTTTATTAAACAATTCCTGAAACAACTTCAAAGGAATAATCCAGGTTAAGTGCAGCTTCTGCTCTATCGACAGTTTATGTGAGCATTCGCACGGAAAAACAGTTTGACTCGCCGTATCACTAAACAAATGTTTAAAATATGACCAACTAAACAATTCAACTCAGCTACTTTCGCTCTTTATTGATGTGAAGTTAACAGGAGGGGACATGTGAGACGCGATATAGCTAAGAATGGGTTGAGATGGTCAACAGGTGTCTGGTTTTTGTAATAATAATATGTTATATTAATGTTATTGAATATTAAAGGATTAGTTCACTTTTGAAAAAACTTTTGCTGATAATTTACTCACCCCCATGTCATCCAAGTTGTCCATGTCTTTCTTTCTTCAGTCGAAAAGAAATTTAGGTTTTTGATGAAAACATTCCAGGATTTTTCTCCATATAATGGACTTCAATGGGAACCGGATGGTTCAAGTATCAAAAGACGGTTAATAACTGTTTCAGATGCAGCTTCAAATGTCTTTAAACGATATCAGACGATGAATAAGGGTCTTATCATGCGAAACGATCGGTTATTTCAAAACTTATTCCAAAAATGTAACTTTTCTAAGGACAAATGCTAGCCTTGCTCTATTCTGTGAGGCGCGTTTGCAACGTCACGTATTACGTAATTATGTTCAAAAGGTCACGGGCGACAGCCGAAAGTACAGAGTCAGTGTTTACAAGTTGAACGCATAGGTTGAACGTGCAAACTAACTCAAACACCGTTTACAAAAAAAGGAATTAAAAGGAAAAACAACGATGTCGGACGATTTTGACTCTGTACTTTCGGCTACGTCGCCCGTGACCTTTTGAACGTAATTACATAATACGTGACGTTACAAACGCGCCTCACAGAATGGAGAAAGGCTAGCATTTGTCCTTAGAAAAGTTAAATTTTTGGAATAAGCTTTGAAATAACCGATCGTTTCGCGTGATAAGACCCTTATTCATCGTCTGGTGTCGTTTAAAGACATTTGAAGCTGCATCTGAAACAGTTATTAACTGTCTTTTGGACCTTGAACCGTTTGGTTCCCATTGAAGTCCATTATATGGAGAAAAATCCTGGAATGTTTTCATCAAAAACCTAAATTTCTTTTCGACTGAGGAAAGAAAGACATGGAAATCTTTTATGACATGGGGGTGAGTAAATTATCAGCAAAAGTTTTTTCAAAAGTGAACTAATCCTTTAAGGTGTTCTTTAAACTGTGTAGCATCTTATTTAAACTTAAATGTTAGCCTTGTTATGTGTTGTTGTGATGACCTGACGGGGGACTGCAGATGGAAAGCAGCCCTGGGGCTAATTCTGGCATATTTACATTGCTGAAAAGCTAATATGTTTATTAATATGCATTGTCCCTTTTAAATAAGTAAATAAATAAAATAAATAAATAAAAAGTTGTTTAGCTTATTTATTTGTTGATCATCTGTCCTATTAAAAGGCCATTTTTAATATCCATGTATCACAATGTTAAAACGCATCTTAGTTAGTAGACATGAAACAGCCTAATTATACAGGGTTTCTTTAATATAGTCTAACGGACTGGTGGTTTTTTTTTGGGATGCGAGAAGACAAAACAAATGGATAAAAATTTTTAAATTCACCAAAGATGACCAAAAAAGGAAGAATAAAATAATGTCTTAAATAAAAGGAAGAATAAAAGGAGAAAGAGTTTCCCGCGGTCAGGCGAGGTTCAACCGAAACGTTCCCGTACCAACATCATGAGTTTCTTCTTGACAGGGCACGAAGCTCCCGTTCCACCACATCCCAAAACTGCTCTATTGGGTTGAGATCTGGTGTCTAACTAATTAATTAAACTAACTAATTGTCATGTTCAAGAAACCAATTTGAAATGATTCGAGCTTTGTGATATGGTGCATTATCCTGCTGAAAGTAGCCATCAGAGGATGGGGTCATGGTGGCCATAAAGGGATGGACATGGTCAGAAACAATGCTCAGGTTGGCCGTGGCATTTAAACAATGCCCAATTGGCACTAAGGGGCCTAAAGCGTGCCAAGAAAACACCATTACACCACCACCACCAGCCTACACAGTGGTAACAAGGCATGATGGATCCATGTTCTCATTCTGTTTACGCCAAATTCTGACTCTACCATCTGAATGTCTCAACAGAAATCGAGACTCATCAGACCAGGCAACATTTTCCAGTCTTCAACTGCCCAATTTTGGTGATCTCTTGCTAATTGTAGCCTCTTTTTCCAATTTGTAGTGGAGATGAGTGGTACCCGGTGGGGTCTTCTGCTGTTGTAGCCCATCCGCCTCAAGGTTGTGCGTGTTGTGGCTTCACAAATGCTTTGCTGCATACCTCGGTTGTAACGAGCGGTTATTTCAGTCAAAGTTGCTCTTCAAAGTTGATCAGCTTGAATCAGTCGGCCCATTCTCCTCTGACCTCTAGCATCAACAAGGCATTTTCGCTCACAGGACTGCCGCATACTGGACGTTTTCCCCCTTTCACACCATTCTTTGTAAACCCTAGAAATGGTTGTGTGTGAAAATCCCAGTAACTGAGCAGATTGTGTAATACTCAGACCGGCCCGTCTGCACCAACAACCATGCCACGCTCAAAAATTGCTTAAATCACAATTTTGCATTACATTCAGTTTGGAGTTCAGGAGATTGTCTTGACCAGGACCACACCCCTAAATGCATTGAAGCAACTGCCATGTGATTTGTTGATTAGATAATTGCATTAATGAGAAATTGAACGCGTGTTCCAAATACTCCTTTCGGTGAGTGTATATGAAACCTTACCTCTGAACCATTTGGAATCATGTTTGATCGTGCGCAGGGCAGGACTCTCTCCAAGACTGCGGTAAATGACGGCGTCGATGGCCAGGAAGTCAGTTACTGTCCCTGTGAATAAGCTGCCCTCTGGGGGCAAAGGGCAAAGGTCAGTGGTCAATAACCAGAAGTGAGCATCGACATAGTGCCATGATGATTTATGCTGCAAAGCATTCGAAAAGTCCTTGAGCATAACAATGTTAGGAAAAGGTGGTTAAACACATTTATGGAGGCAAATTAAAACAGCTATAAATGAGGCGATATTAAATATTATTATGTCGTGTATCTCCTGGGGGTATGGCTCTTATTATCACAGATTAAAGGGTGATCAAAAAAAATCAGTGCATTATGTGAATAATGTGAGGTTAGAGGTAAGAGTCGTTACATGGCCAGAAATGTGTCCCGTTACCTGCAAACAGAGCCACATTAGCGTGTTTGGGATCATACGGACATCGGGCCATTCCGCTGATGGGCTCGCCGACCAATTCCAGAGTGTCTCTCTGAACAAACACACACACACTCTTTGTGAGGACAGGATATGACACTCTCTGAGAGGATGATAGCTGTTATAAACCACACATATCTCCAAACACATTTACAAGTGTTGCTATCATTTCAACACGCTTCCAGCAACAGTAGAGAGTGTGAGTGAGCGTGTACATGTGTGAGAGAGATGGACCCTTCAAACGCAACTGTAGTGTGTGTGTCCATTTATCTCACAACTAAAACAAACCCAAAAACCTGTCTCCAGAAGGGTTTTCTCGATTTTATATATAACAATAAATCAGTATGGCTTTCATTTCGAAATGTACTGTAAAAACAAAGACTTTAAGGTTTAACTGTAATATGTGAGATGTGGCCGGGAAATTTCACCCCAAAATCCAAAGAAAAAGAAATGAAAATATATTGCATTATGTAAATTAAGCATTAATTACCAAATGACTAACTGAATATTTGGTAACACTGTACAATAAGGTCTTATTAGTTAACATTGGTTAAAACATTAACTAACAATGAACAATTCAATAGTTCAAAAAGTGAGGTTCATTAAATAATATTAAATAACATTAATGTTACCACTTTAAAAAAATGTTGTTGTTTTTAACTTAAAAAATTAAGTAACTTGGCTGCCTTAAAATTAAGTTGATTGAAATGGAAAAATTGAGTTAATACAATGAAGGAGATTGATTTAATCATCAGAAACTCAAAATATTATGTTATCTGAACTACATAAATTATTTAAGTTGATTTGACAAAAGAAAAAATGTTGTGATTACAAATCATGAAAATATTTGTTTACAGTGTGGTAACCAAAATCATTACCTCTCTAAAAAAAATACATTATTTGATCATTAATAATGCTTCATTTTCTTAATGCAAAATACATTTCCTTACTTTTTTAAACATTTGATTGGTAACTTATAATTCAGACATGTTCCTGACAGATTCAGCCAGAAAATCACTCGCACTTTCGATTCAACGGTTAAAATGAACATAATCTCCTCTGAACTCTTCGTGGCAATTTTGTGCATCCATTTATTGAGTTTTAATAATTAAGTCAATTGTACTTCCATCAATGTTGATCCTTTCATTATTGTTAATCCATGGGTTCTAATGAACTGATTCTTTTTAATGATTCAGTTGAACTGATTTACAAAGCATTTTTTAATGACTGGACTGTAAGAGAAAAAATGGTTAAGTAGGTGAGTGACATGTTGCAAACAATGCAGATTATGTAAATTAACTTGTCAAGTCTTGCACTGCTACAAAGTTGACAAGCAACGGGAATGACAAGAAATGTAATGGTACTGATTTATCAAAGATTCCATTAACAAATATTATCCTTTTAGTACTTAAAAAATAACTGGTTCTACATACAGTGTATACACTATATACGCTCTAAAAATATGTAATGTTTATATGTAATTTGCTAATTTCTTTGTCATTAATACACTGTAAAAAAATATTGTTGGTTAAACTTAAAAAAATAAGTAACCTGGTTGCCTTAAAAGTTTAAAAACTGAGTTAATACAATGAAGGAGATTGATTCATTGAATCATCAGAAACTCAAAATATTATGTTATCTGAACTACATAAATTATCTAAGTTGATTTGAGGAAAGAAAAATTGTTGTGATTCCAAATCATGAAAATATTTTTTTACAGTGAAAATGTACTAGCAATTTCTGAAAATTGGCTCTACATCTTTTAGATGTACAGTCAGATTGATTCATTAAAATAAGAATCAGCTGAAATCTCACATTGTACATACATACAAGCTAAAAATGAAAACTGTAGATATTCTTCCATATTTTAGGATGAACAGAACTGGATCTTGTGATGTTTGTGTATTATTACTCTTTACACGCTCTACATGTTTGCTGTGGGTAAACACAGGGGAGATAGTGAAGTCTGCAGGCATTGAGGAACACTCACCGTGTAATTGGCACACAGCGGGTTGAAAGCATTCGTCCCGCACACGAACAGCCCTCCATCATGGCTCAACAGCACCTTAATATAATTACGGCACTCCTCCTGAGGTAAACAGAGAGAAATAGAATAATTTACTCTTGTTTATACTATTATATATTTTTTCATAATAAAGATTTTTTTATCTTTATTATGAAATATTACTTGTACTAATCCACGGGCCTTGCAATTGCCCCATGGGGATAAATAAAGTTTTTTGAAATTGAAATTGAAAATTGAAATATATTGTGGCCGAGGGTGGGGCCGAGAGCTGTGGGATCGGAACGTGAGGGCAAATGAGCGTCGCCCACACCGGTCTCGAGTCCCACGGAGGAGCTCCGGAAGGATAAAAGGTGACAGTGCAAGACAAGAGAGGACCAGGCGTGGGACTTCACATTGGTGCTTTATTTTAGTTTATGAACAAAAATATCAACAAACTTTGTTCCAATTTTTGTCAAATGTTGTTTACGCTATCATACAATACAATACAATATTTTGCCATGGTAGTGAATGAGTGCCATACTTGTATACTATTGTATTTTCACTATATTTTCCTAGGTACTTTATGGGAATAACATGATACAGTACATGTGATTTGTGGTATACACAGGTTTCCTGTTTACAAACATTACAGGTTGCCGCTACTGTGACAACTTTAAGTATTGAAGCTTTCCTTATTGTTTGTATTGTTTTGTATATAACTCCTGACTCAATACAATGTGATTTTAGTTGGATCTGTTTGTCTGTCTTTAATTTTGCAGTGTTACTGTGATATACAGTATGTATGAATTATCATGTTAAGCTAATAAACAGCCAGTTAGCTAGACAGCCCGAAATTTGCTTTTATATAAGTTAGCTTACGCTTGTTTACATTACAGACATTTAATTAAAATATATTTATCTTTATATATATTTCACATTTATTAACATTACTTGTATTTTTTTATTTGCCCTGTTGTCCTTTTATTAACATAAATAGAGCAGGCTTCATAGGTCTGAGAGGTCTGGAAATAAACAAAAAGCTTTGGGATTAAAACTGAAAGAGAGAGAGAGAGAGAGAGAGCGAGAGTTTGTATAATTATCTCAATATGCATAAACACAATAAAATGACTATTCCTATTAATTATTGTGTGGAACAGCGGAAATGATTTCAAACTCTGTGTATTTGTTTTGCCGGGCTGATCTTCTTTGAATAACAATGACTTGGCAGCATTTGACTTTCATGTCATTTAACAAAGTCATCTGAATTCTAATTAAAATTTGAGTGAAGGGGAGAGACAAACAAAAACATAGTGTGTGCGCAGGCGTGTGTGTGTGATGGGTCAGACATGAAAGGGTTGGGTAAGATGGACAAAAGAATAAGGCTGTAAATATTTACACAGCTTCACAAGTCATTTTCCCCCAGACATCATTATTTTGAGAGCTGTGTTTGTTTTTGAAGACAGACACTAGATAAGAAGGTCCCAGCTCGCAGCTCCGCCACAGAGCCCACACAGTGGGCATCACCCCATAACGTTTTTTAGTTTTTCAGGGCAAGGACCCCCGATGCAAAATGTGTCAAATATTAGGCTAGCCTTATATGATGATCAAAATAGCCTACTAGCCGAGACTCTTCTTTAAGTATGTGACGTAATGACGCACAGACATGCTCGAATCTCCCGCAGAAATCACCAGTACCACTGAATTAAAAACATTATTAGGCCACCCTTAAAAATATTCTTGTTTGCCGTAACCCGACCGACCCTGTCAATTTAGGGCCGACCCAATTTTTTATTTTTTTTCCCTTTTAGTCCGACCGACTTGCCGGTTGTAACTTGCGTTCAGACCGACCGATTTTTTTTTTTTTTACTCTTCAAACGACTAAATTCAAATTCCATAAAATGATATTTTAGTTAGTATTGTGAAAGTTGCTTATGTCTACAAACGTAGGCTACGTTCTTTCTTTTAAATAAAAACCCGTGGCGTCATAGTCATCTGATTATGTTTACACGATTGGTTTACCCGTGTCACACTGTCTATAAGGCTTATACGTTCGCTTCGTTTCATTCAGTGTTCCCGCTTGGTAAACCCGGTATTAAATGGGCTGAATATCAACCATTTCTATATATAATAATAATATTAAACAATTTGTCTGATGCAATTTTGCTATTCCCAGTCCAGAAGAGAGAGAGAGCGATCTCTCACCCGGAGCCACAGCGCGAACAACATGACAGCCCTGCTTAATGAGTGACAATGAGGACAGAACGTGGTTACCTACACTTTAGATCTGGGATATTATTCTAATTGTATTTTAGATTTCCGCTTTCAAAGATTATAAAAAGATATTTGAGATGAAACCATTACAGACGCATTCTGTCTATAGCGCAACTTCCTTCCCTTCACAGCGTTGCGCTGTCATTTCTTCCTAAAACCCAAACGTACCGTCAGAATCAGCACGATCGGTAATTGTTGGAAAATGCAGTCTGTACTGTTGCTAAACTGCGTACGGGTTCAATCATTAAAAGAGCTATTAAAAGCACAAAAGTCTGCGCAAGAGACGCTGTTCACAAGGTGATGCGTGCTCCGAAATGCACTGCAACGGGACAAGAAAAGTAGGCTATAGCCTCATTTTGGGCTTCATGTGCGCAGCTAAACTATCAAATATACATAAAATCTAAAATGACCTGCTCTGAGATTCATTTAAACACAGTTTATGTCTTAAATGGATGTGAATAGTTGGGAGGATATGGTGGTGCATCAGTCATCTGTTAGATCCGCACTCGGTCTTAAAGGGGCAGTAGTCTAATAAACATGTGTCGATTGAGCCAGTAATGGGAATCAAACACAACAAAAGGCAGAGAAAAATCACTCGCAGCTCTTGAATTATTAACTTAAACTTTAATAAGCATTAATCTAACTATGATAAACCATGCAGTGTCATTTTACATTTGATTTACTAAATTAAATTTATTTTCAGACAGCGCAACACACTTAACTGAAAAGTAGCTAATTTTAGACCTTTCTGAAATTAAAGCACTGTGTATATAGGCTAATTTGTATCTTTGTTTAATTGTATTCTTTGTTTCACCATGTGTTTGTACTTGTTTTTGCTTATATCTCATGTATTTGGGGGAAAAAAGCCTGCACACTGCAATAACACCTAGTGGTGGATGCACAGTTTGAAGACCCAGTCAGTGACGTCACAGTATGCAATTAAAAAAAAAAAAAAAAAAATTCATGATCACCATGACCAAAATTTTACTTTTTTTTTTTACACTGAATCCTGGAGAAAAAAAAATATAGACCTACCTACCGACCCTTTTTTTTTAAAAAAATTGCTGTTACTGCAAACCAAAATATTTTTAAGGATGGCCTTACAAGCTTACCGTTTAGAATCGAGCAAGGCAAGCAGATAGTTTTGAACACTGGCTGGTTATGTACTAGCTCAAACATTTATTTGGAATAATTTTTTATCCAAAAAAGTTACGGACTGGAGCTTTAATTGAAGGACCCCCTGCAGTACCACTGTGGAACCCCTAGGGGTCACGGTTGAAGACCCTTGCCCTATAACATACATTTTTTTTTCTCCTGGGTTTTACATTGTTTTTGGACTAAATGGGCACAATGGTGCTGCACAGAAACAGGAAGTAGCTTGAATGCATCATGACGTGAGTCCAGCTATTAAAGCAGTGCTACTGCATAACCAGCTGCGAACACTCATGAATCAGGAATGTCTTTGTTCCCTGACGGACATCAATGGAACGTTTTGAAGTGGTTTTGTGTATTTTGCTGAAACCTCTGCATGTGGGCCCCAACACGCAGCTCCACCGTAGGGCCCATTCACCACTCTGCCCATTGAGTTAGGCTGGGCCCCCTGGTGGAGCTGAAACCAGAGGGGGCCGACACTGAGGTCAGGCTCTTTGAGGTGATTAGCAGGACTGCCAAGGTTCTATGTGTTGTTACAGATGCAAGTCTGTGTGTGTGTGTTTGCACAAGAGATGTAGATCTAAGTGTGGTTACAAATGCATTCAAGCTGCTCACAGCGTTAAACACACACTCCCTATTGACAGATCAACTTACTCATGCGTGTGCATGCGTTTGAATTGAAGAACAGACAGGGATCTTGTCATTTTTGATAAGTTGAAGAGTGCGAGTCTAAGCATATAAAATGACGCGACCTTTCACCTCTTATTACGGTGAGTATTTCCACCTGGATGCTGTGAAATATTGAGGTGCTCTAACGTTCCTGCTTCAAAAATGCCAGTTTTTTTTCCTCTGTGTGTTTTTCTTGGTGATCATCAGGAAACAATGCAAATAACAGTGGCAACAATTTACCCATAATTACCCACCAATTATAAAATCAAGCTGATCTTCACCCTAAGGGGCCGTTTACACGACAGCTTTTTCAACTGAAAGCATTGTATGCATTTTGGCCAGGCATTCATTTACACAACAACAGCGTTTTGGGGGCCTGAAATTGCAAACTTTTGAAAACGGGTTTCAAAGTGCACATTTTGAAAACGATACAGTTTTTCCTCCATGTGAGCGACAAATATTTGCTGAATGTATGAAAACGGTGATGTCATGCACATGTGTATTACATGTTCAGTCAAAAGGCGTGTAGCGTTTCTTTAAAAAGTGACATCGCCAACTACAGGCCTGGCAGGCCTTTACAGCCAATGTGGATCAACAATTAATCTAACTTCTGTAATTTGACTATTTTACATAAGGCGACTAGAAAGCCAGACTCAGACTGAAGGAGTTTCAGGCCGATTTATGCCCAGTTTACCCATCCCACTATTTGGAGATAAAAACCGTGTCCAGGGCATTGGTCGGTTCCAATGTTACGCCCAGGTTATCTGGTAATGTGAGTCATTGGACATATGTTTGATATTGAGGATTTTAAATCAGGATGACTATGATTACGTCAGTACTTCCAGAATAGCCAATGAGAGACAAGTCTACAAGGAGACGGAAGTGATGGAACCAGCTCTATGGGTCCAGTGGACAACGGAGATGGAGGAACAGCTGGTCCAAACAACAGCTGCCTTTATAATGTCTCCTCATACTGCAAGTTGCTGCGACAC